ATATATATATATATATATATATGTATACATATATATGGTGTTGAAAAGAACGCGGGGGTTGTGACTGTTTGAATTGATAATTTTTGAGAAATATTTGTTTTTCTCCTGTTTAACGGTTGTCTGATACGCTTTCCAAAATGTTTTTAACATCTCAAAAGACCTGAAGTTTATCTTTTTTCCATCGACGTTCAGCTCTTCTGCACAGGTGTCTTGCCTCTCGTGTGGTCTCATTTACCCAAGGGTGGGGCATGCGTTTTCGATTCCTGAGCTTTAACGGGGCGACTGAGTCCAGGATCTGTACACAGGCCTCCTGATGCTGAGAAAGCAACTCCTTTGTAGTAAGACCTGCAGAGAGTTCAGAGTCTGAAACAGAATTACCAGCAAAGATGGAAGAGAAGAGTGCGGCGGTGGAAGGGTTAAAAATCCTACAGGGCTTGGGTGTGGGGGGAGGTGCAGGTTCACAAATCAAAGAGGTGTTGAATAAAACCGGTTCGTGGTCAGAACAAACAGTGTCACCAATTTCTAAATCAGAAACAGACAAACCATGTGTTAAAACTAAGTCTAGAGTGTGGCCCTGCTGGTGAGTCGGACCAACAACACTCTGAACAAAGTTAAAGGACTGGATGAGGTCTAGAAAGTCCTGAGCTAAAGGTTTAGCAGGGCAGCACACGTGGATATTAAAGTCTCCTAAAATTAAAACCCGATCATATTGGAGCAGAACACCAGTTAGAAAGTCAGATAGTTTGTTTAAAAACTGTTTATGGTATCCGGGGGGTCTGTAAAAAATAGCACACAGAACTGGGTTGGAGCGGCCCAGCTCACAACAGAGCAGTTCAAAACTCGAATAATTGGCTGAACGATGGAGCTGTCTGCAGTGGAAATGTTTCTTAAAAACAGCCAATAATCCTCCACCACGACCAGTTGTCCTTGGAGCATTGAAAAAAGAACAATCCGGAGGCAGTAATTCCAGAAAAATACTGAACTCACCAGGGCAGATCCAAGTCTCAGTGATGAAAAGAAAGTCCAGTCGTTTGCAGCAGAAAAAGTCGTTCAAAATAAAAGTTTTATTAGCCAGCGATCTGGCATTTATCAGGGCCATCCTCATAGAATCCACCACAGGAGGAGATGGTTGCAGTGTCCAGTCCAGCAGCCTCAGATTTGCGGAGTTAGACGCGCGCCTCCGGCAGGAAACCCAGCTGCGCACGGGCCCAGTGTGATGATGGGACCCCGAAAGCGGGATCAGACAGCGCGCCACAGGATCTGTACAGCGCCAGGAGCGGAGGTGGAAATGCTCACCATCAGCTGGAGAGGATGTTTCAGAGGCAGCAAGCAGGGCTTTAAGCTTCACCAGCCGGCCAGCACGTTTTCCACGGCGTCTGGAGCGACGTCTCCGGGGAGGCAGGTGTGCGCCTTGCTGCAGGTAAGCAGGCACGTCCGCCAGCGACCGAGGGGGG